TTCAAGAAGGCACGCCCTTCGAGCTTCAGGTGTATGCTGGGCGTGTTTGGCGAGGGCCAGAGACACATTCCATCCATCGCGGGAACAGAGTCGCGCTAGACTTGCTTGTCCACACATACATATACTTGAACAGAACAAGTTCCATCTCTCTCTCTCTCTCTCTCTCTCTCTCTCTCTCTCTCTCTCTCTCTCGTGTGTGTGGTTGTGGGTGTTGCGTTCTATATGATGGTTTTCGCCACCCCTCCTGTCCCTTCGCGCACAACGTGGCCGCGCCAAGGACGTGTTGATTGGGTGTCTTCGGCGACTCCGAGTCGTCCGTCCCGCCGGGTTGTTCGAGCTCCTGGCCGCGATTGAGGTGTTGAGGTTCGAGCTGGGGCACCGGCCGGCAGTCGTGGTCGTTGACGGGATGGGCTCCTTTTTCTGGCAGGACAAGGTGTGGTGATGACACACCACGAATGCGCAATGACTGATGACGATGGCAATGAGTGGTGGCAGAAGGGGGATTATAGCCGAGGTACCTCTGCACTTCTTTTCTCATCTCTCGTCTGTGGTATCAGAAAATGCACTTACAAACATAGAGAGACTCCCCGTCCGAGACAAAATCTCAGTCGGGATATCGTCTCCTAGCTGTCGTCTTTTGTCTCTCGTCCAGCCACGCCACGGTGTCGTTTCTCTCCCGCCCGGTCACACAACGGTTGCGGCCCGAGGGCCGCGCCAAAATGATTCATTTCTCCCTGACAAGGCCCGTCACTGCAGTAACTATGCGAAGTCAATGATATCGTTTTGTAGTTTTTTACTCCGTGCCCTGTTGCCCTTGGAAACATGAACGAACATGTTCGAGGGTGGTGCTCCCTGAGTCCGTGCATTGTTTTCTTTCCCGCCTCTGCAAAATGAGTACGATAGGGGACAGGCCTCCGTCTAGCCGAAGCTGAAGTGAAACCACACCGTTGCCAGCAAGCCTCAAAACGGTATTTGGTGCTTTCTGACTCACATGTGATTTCCACCATCTTCCTTTGACAAAATAAAGCTCCCTGCGAAGCATCTGTCTGTCTGACTCGGATGAATGTCGTGAATGGTTCCGTGGTGTTGTTGTACGTTCTTTCCTTGCGGTCGTGACTCTCTCTGTAACACAAAACAAGTGCAGATGGCCCAGAGCTGCGGCGGAGAGGCTGTCTCGATGCAGGGGATCGTGGCGAAGGCCCTCGTGCGGCTAACAATGGAGCGGCCGGTCGTCCTCTTCGCTGCGAAGAACGGTAAGGACCTGTAACAGGGGCTAGGCACTCACGTTCGATCAATGGAAGGGTCCTTGTTTTGGCAGAGAGAGGCGAGGAGGAAAGGGGTATATAGAGAGGGGGGGGCGCCAGGGGGGGGGGGGAACTTGGCAAGTTTAGTACCCTCATGTTTACCTGACGACTACAAGCGCTCCACCAATCTAAAGGAGGGGCAGCTTTACCGTCCCCCTCCCGATCACCGAAGAAACCTCTTCCGCCCCCCTCACGTTCATTTTTTTTGCCAGCTCTGTTCTTGCCTCGAGGGAACGGTGGCAGCAACAGCAGCAGCAGCAACAGCAGGGGGGACGCGGCGACGGAGCACAGGGAGTACCTCCCGCAGATATGGCAGCGCGCGGTTACGTTCAGGGTTCTCCTGCAACGAAGACAGAAGCGCCCACCATCGCCCCGCCCGCCTCCGCAATCGAGCGGCGGCGGCGGCGGCGGCGGGGCCCTGTCGCTCTTCACGGCTCGAGTTTTGAGTCTTCGCCTAGCGAAGGGTAACTACGGTGGCGGAGGCGGTTCTTTTAAGGCAGCCGCAGCGGGGGCGGGGCGAGTTGGTCGTTACGGTGCGGGGGGGGACGGCGAATCGAGACCGTATTTTTTCGTGGTGACGGACGACGGTATACACGATGTTCCTGCGGCGGCCACGCTGGGAGAAGGGGAGGGATGGGAGGGGCGCTGACTGCCATAATCTCTCTGAAGACCAGAAATGGCTGCTGTTTACCTTGCTGTCCACGCGTTGTTGGATTTCGAGGGAGGTTAGGTATGGTGTCTATATAGTGTAGAAGTAGACTATATCTATACCTGCACCAAAGACTATGAACGGCATTCTTTTTTTGTTGTTGCAAAAGTATAAAAAAATTCACGATCAAAAGAACATTGGAAGTTGTATGCAACCTACTGCTGTACATCCAAACCAAAATGGGCATTTGAAATGTGTCGGTGTTTTGAACACGAACGTCTCTTGGCTGCGGTCCTCTCTACATGCCGGCCGTTGGTGCGTTCTCGCGTCACTGCTGTGGTTCTGTTGACTTTTTGTGCGTGGGAACGAGCAATATATCTCGTATTCTCAGTCCTGAAGCCAGCAGTTCTGTGAGGGAATGGATCGGTGTTGCTGGGTTGAGGAACAAACGTCCTCGAACTCTCGCGAGCGAGAGAGACAGAGAAAGATCGTATCTGTGCCGTCACTGCTTGGTTGCTGTTCGCCCCACAGCAGTACGTCACTACTTGCGCCGCAATGTCGGAGGCGTTTCCGCACACCGGGGTGACAAGCACACATAGACCTGCCTCGAGAGTGCCTTGCAAGCTTAGCGCGGGTGCGAAGGCCACCGTCTCGCTCTCAGCCTATCGTACGCACCAGTTCCCTGTGCGCACCGCCGTGCAAGAGGCGGCAGTGGTTGACTCTCGACATGGCGATCGGTGAACATGTGAGGTGGGCCATATCAGCATGCTGCCAAGCCGCTGCTCTCTTCATGGCGGTAGCTCCTGCTGCTCCTGCTGCTGTGGCTTTCTGCTCTTCTAGCATGAGCACCAAGGGAGTTGTGCATGTCTGCACTAACACGTCGTGCCGGAAGGTGTGTTTGGTAGTGTTTGGTATAGTCTGGAGGTGTGCTGAAGTTCAACTTCAATTCCTGCTGTAGCGGCACTTGGTCTTGTGAGAACGCGAGACATGGCGACTTGGACAGCAGTCCAGAGGGCACATCATGATCAAACAACGCTTTGTCGCGTGCGACTACAGGTCCGTACTGCTGCTGTAGGCCCGGCAAGCCCTTGGTAGTAGATGATGACTCCAAAGTAAAGGGCCGGGGTCGAGAAAGGAGAGACTATCTCTTGGTGTACCAGGAATTTTGGGTTCGGAAACATATCTTCTGTGGCAAAGAAATAAAAAAATAAAAAATAAATAATGAAGTTAGTGTGTCTATCCGAGAGAGAAGCGATGAGCTCATGGTGTAGTCTAGGTAGATGGTCTCTGCTGGTCATTGGTAGCGTTTGGTCGTAGCCTCGCTGACTCCGACGTCGGTTCCGAACACACTTGTTTTCTAGGGTACACAAATTGAAATGTCAACAATCAACAAAAGCAACAGCGGGAGCGCCAACAGCCCGAGACAGACAGCCTCCCGGCTCGGTGACGCCGGCAGCAACACCCCCCCCAACAGAAGTGGATGCAGTAGACGTCCCTGTTTAGTGCCGGTCGAACAGTGCCGGTTGCCGGTATAGTGTCGGTGTTTTCGGCGGGCACACACCGAATTTACCAAGTCATTCTGTGCTTTGGAATAGTGCCGGTGGATTTTCTGGGCAAATATGTAACCGGCACTAGGGACCTCTTCGTGGAGGTTGACACGCCATTTGCAACACTCAGTGAGGTCAACAGCACAAGAAGACTCCGTAAGGCAAACAACAGAATGTGTCAATTGCTTGATTTGGAAGAACTTCTTCCCTCTCGCCCCACCTCCGTCCCTCTCGTTCATGAACTCCGGGCTGGGGCAGGCGGGGTCTCGTTGGACAGTTGACACTTTCAGGGCGTTTGCCCCTCCGGGAGACATCAAGATTCTCGAGACTGGGTGCCAAGGCCGGTAAGAAGAAGAAGAGGTTCGTCTACGTAGTCTTTGGGTCTCCCTCTCGTACAGTGGGAAAATGTCGGCGTTGCCTCGTTGGAAACCCTTGAAGGTCTATGGGGCCACACATCCAGGTAGCAGGGTTAGACAAGCATCAACCAACTTATCCCCGACGACAACGCTGGAGGAAAGCGGAGGATTGGTTCGGGAGGACGAAGCGCGCGTTATACTTGCTCGTGTTTCTGTTTCTTACAACCACCCACCGGCCGTTCGACGCAGCCCCAGCGGTAGATCAGATGCGTTCGACGTACATGTATCCCATGGTTCCATGTCTCGATAGGGTCATTATAGCAGTTTACTTATGTAGCTTCAATGACGCCAAAACACAACAGCATGGCGGTCAGGAGTTAGATTGCAAATGACCTGGTCGGTGGCAGTATCGAACTGTCGGTGACATACGATATCGCACCCCGTCGACCGATTTTTACAGAGCTCGATTTCTCCACAGCAGAGGAAAGTTGCGGTGCCGAAAATGGCGGCGTTGGAACCATCTCGCCGAGAGCTTTCAGAAAACAAACGTAATATCGTTCATCCATGCGTCATCTTCGTCGTGGAGCAATCGAGCTGTGATATCATACGTCACCTAAGGTACATGTACTGGCCGTCTTCGTTGGGCTCCTACATGTACCCATGGCAGATGGTGAACCTTTTGCCCCCGATTCCACTGAAACCTATCCTGCCTCTCCGCCTACCGCTCGATGAGGACGCGGGCTCTGTGGCCCTTGTTGGCGGCACTGACTGCTGCCTCCGCACAACGTTGCTGAAACGTTACGATCCAATCTACTCTTCGCAAAAAGGTGTGCTCCTGTACGTTTCAGAAACCACAACATTTACAAGTCGCTCATACGAACTCTCGCTTTGTCTTTCGAAAAAAGGTGCGGCCTCGGTCCCAACATTTTGACGAGGCCTTCCGAAGAGGTGTACAACGGGGTGGCCCAGCCAGCCACTGTGGCGGCGATAATCGAGGCAAGCAACGAGAAATAGCGCCGTTGACAACAATGCAGAACGACTTTGTTCATGCTGGAACCACTAGACGCCGTGTGCCTGTTTCAACCCCTGATGGTGGCAGGCACATACCTATCCTGCTTGCTACGGCCACGCGACCGTCCGTCTGTAGAAACTCGCGCAATCCTCATCCTAGACGAGCACCGGTGCGGAGCGTGAAGCATTAAGCGCGAAGGTGTGATACATACGGCTGCCGCTTTCAGCGTCTGCCGTCGAAACTAGCTACCACTGTCGACGTCGCATTTCGGCGCGCTTCATCCCTTTGCCGCCCATGTTTTTCCTATGTAGCATGGGAGAAACGCATGCACTGATGATCAAAAGGCGCAACACGGTCTTATCCGTACCTTTTTTTTTCCCCTACTCGTGGCGTTGCGTGTTGCGATCAGATAGATTTTGGTGTCCAGGTTGCGGACACCCTCGTGGGGGCGTTTGGCCATGTATCGAAGGGAGACGTCCTCTTCAAGCGGGGCCTGTTCGCCGAGGCGTTGGCCTGCTACAATCAGTGCATCGACACTGCCGGAGCCTTCGAGGGTGTGTACGTGGTTCCTTGGAGAGTGCTCTCCCCCTCCCGGCGAGGATCGGATAGATAGGCTAGGGAGATCGTTTTTGAGCCACCTTTGGCAAAGTACAATTTGGCCATCGGTGATTGGTCCTGTGGGAACAATGCTCCGTCATTTCAAGGACGTGTGGTCAATGCTCCAACCGCTAAAGAATGGGAAACATGAGAATGCCCGATCCCCCACCTCGGCTCCTGCTCGTCGTTTTGTTCATCGAGCACTCATCAAGCTTTAACCGCGAGGGATCCGCCCAAGAAGGATACTTTGATGTTTCGGGGATACTGCGTTGTTGGCTGGCTGGCAGGCTTGTTTGTTTTTGCTGGACCCTCTCGCTCCCGTCGTATTCCCTCCCTTCCTCCGGCCTGTCCTTTCTTGCACATGCTGATTGACTTACTCCCCTACGCTGCTGATATTGCTGCTGCTGCTGCTGCTGTCGGTGCTGTTGCTGACTCGGCAGGGAGCACGAACGCGCTTAGCGTGGCCAAGGTGAAGCAGTCGAGCGCGATGCGCTTGTTGGCAAAGGAGGGGGGTAGGGGCAGCAGCCGGGCTGCGGGCACCGGGAGCACTGCTGCTGCCGCGTCTGTTACGCTCGAGGTATGCTATCATTTGGACGCCGCTATTTGGGGAACACGTCCAACCCTTCGTTGGTGACGAGAATGACGCAAGCGCAGGCTTTGGATGAGAATATGACCGTGGACTGGAGTAGCGCCATAAAGGCGTGTTCAAACAAGAGGGAGCACAGCGTGAGACTCTCAAGCGGCTGATTTGATGGGCAGGCACTTGTACCTGTGGAAGGGGGCGCGCGCGAGGGGGGGGGAGGGTGTACTCATAGTCGTGCATGCCGTAGTCGCTAGACCATTGACCTCGCATCCCTACAAAGCCGGGACGGANTGACCATTTTAACACAACGTGGTGCGATCATCCCCCTTGCGCGGAGTGAGGGTTCTCGACCCCGCACAACATGATCTACTCGACCACCATTATGGTTACCGCCAAAAAAAAACAGAGGTAAAAAAACGTTAACCTGGTTGCCGAGCTCACGAAGGGGGGGAATACTTGCCTTCGTCATTTGGCCATCGACCAATGATCCCTTGCGGGACGGAGTGCCGTTTCTGTTCCTCTTAACAGAGACGCACTGTCGGGCGCTCTGCTAGTTTAGAACTTGTGGCATGTAGGTGCTCGAAACAAGCGTGTATTTAGCTGTTCCGTATGGCCCACCTGTCTGTCCTTGATGGCACGGAAACAGCGATCATCTTGGGCTTGTCCATCTCTCCTGGTGTAATAATCTCATTCCACGAATGAAGACCATGTTGCCAGCCCTCATAGTGGAGTCATAGTCGATGCGAGCTACCGGTGCCCTGGCGTTCTCCAGCGACGTCGCGTGAGGAGAAGGGGGGGGGGGGGGGGGG